TCGGTGTGGATGCATGGGCCGGCTCTGCTTGTGCTCCTTGGTCTTCGCTTTTTGCTGCTTCCGTGGGTGGCACTCCATTGCTTGATGCGGGCCAACAAAAACTAGCACCCGTCGTGTATAGAAGTAAGCGGCGGTTAGAACATTCTTCTCAGATACATGCATCACACACTCTTACTAAACAAACACAGGGACACTTACGGATCGTTCTGGGCTGCGTGTGGCGGGTCCTTTTCCGGGCTTGCGTTGGGAGCCCGGCGATGGGTGAAGCCGGATGATGAGGCCCGGGTAAGTCTGGGTAACCACATCTGATATGGCTGTACGCCTCATGAACAAAAAAGACGTGGTGGGCCGACTAATCAAGGCTTACTACCACTGAGGAGGCTATATGGCGGCACCTTAGTGTCTTACGCCAGCCCATTTTTTTGGGTTGTCTGCGCGGTCTTGGGACTGTACACCTGCCGCTCGTCTCGCTGGGATGACCGTTGTGTACCAACAAATACATATATTACACACGAACACCATTTTAACACTTGTTTTTTAACGCCAGGGCAGTCTCCGTGGGTGGGACTAAGGGAGAGTGGCGACTCTTGGCCAGCCCGAGCTAGTAGCGGTTTTCTCTGGTAACAGAGAGGGCTGCTGCCCTGGTTTTAACCCTTTTCAAATACTTATTTCTAGAAAAAAGGGTAGTGCTGGCCTTCGCGGGTCGGTACGACACTAAAAAGATGCTAAAATGAAAAACGTCGATGTAAAACAAGTACCCCAGGCGGTAACCTCTCTGAGGGAATCCGCTGGCAGTTCCAATCCGGTGAAAGCCCGGGTGACTGACGCAAGCCCCACGGATTCTGGGGGGGAGGGCCACAAAGACGTGTCTCATGGCCAACAGGGACTGCTAAATGTTCCATGGCCTTTCCTTACAGACAAAGGCCGAAGAGGAAGCCTGTCGAGTATATGCACTAACGACACCGAGGTTAGCAACGTGTCGGTATTTAGCCACCAGACCCAGGAAGAGCTTGCCTCTGTAAAAAAAAGTGTCACTAAGCTCGGAGTAAAGCGACAGCAAGTTGCTGATAAAGTCCAATAAGCAACGAATACATTTCAGAGACGCTTCAACTAATTAATGATAAGTACGGCAACACAGCAAACGCTGTAAAAAATGGGCTTAAAGCGGCGCTTAAGCATCTTCAAGAGGCAGAGGTGCTAAGAAAAGGCTGTCTTACTAAAGAAGATTTGTATACCAACGATTGGAAGTCGTCATTTGAATCCCTGCAGTGGAGGAAAAAAAGGCGAGATAATTTGCGACGGCATGTACACAAACGAACTCTGAACACTGTCTTAAAGGAAATAGAACGAAGTAAGAGAAACAGGAGCTCATCGGACAGCCCTGAAAAACGCCAGCAGGCTATGTCTTTAAAGAAAAAGAAAACAGGCAGTGGCAAACAAGAAGAAATTCCACTGAATGACAAAACAAGCCGGAAGAAAAGAGTGGACGCCACAACAACAGTAGTAGTGAAGATGGCTGAAGGACAGACCTTTGCAACGGTTCTGAAGACTATGAAGGCGACCTTTGACCCCGATGAGGCTAAAGTGGCTGTCCAAAGTGTTGTCACTACAAAAAAAGGAGACATACTTATTAAAGCCAAAGGTGTAGAGAATGCTGCTGCATTCTCACAGCAAATTGAAAAGGCGGTAGCCGGACAGGGTACTGTCAAAATGAGCGACAGAAAAGTGACATTAGAGGTCCGAAACCTGGATGCCATTGTAGAGAAAGATGACGTCAAAGAGGCCTTCGCTAGGACTTTTGGAAATCAGAGCCAGGAGCCAGAAGTTGCTCTCTCAAAGCCAAATGCCAGAGGACAGAGGCTGGCTTTAATAAAGGTGGACGAAGCATCTGCCGGACAAGTAGAAAAGGAAGGCAGGTTACGAGTTGGCTTTGTAAGCTGCCGAATTCGAAGAAGAATTGAAGTAACAAGATGTTACAAATGCCTGGGATATGAACACGTCTCAGGAAACTGTGAGAACGAAAACAGATCCAAGCTTTGCTTCCGGTGTGGAAGCTCAAACCACCGGAAGAAAGAATGTCCAGGCCCAGCACGGTGCTTCCTTTACCCAACAACGGACAACAAGCACGAAACAGGCAGCGGGAGCTGCCCCCTATTTAGAAGAGCCCGAAAAGAGGCTAGGGGTATGGCCCAAGCAGGATTGAAATAAGGCAAAAAGGCCTTTAGTTGAAAGATAGGCTCATGTGGACCCACGCTGCGCTAGGTACTTTTTACCTATTAGTAAGGGAAAGCATTAAGCTTATAGTGGTGCCGGCTGAGTAGGCGGCCTACTATGAAGCTCTAGACAAGGTGCTGGTCCTTAGGGACCCTGAGTCCTCTTTAGGACTCGAGAGCATCAGCACCTCTAGCAAATGGTGGCGAGTTAGCTTGTTAATGCTGTGAGACGCGATGGTCTCACTGGTGGCTCCACCCTGAAGTAATGCTAACGCGGTTCCGGGGTGGATCAAAAGCCACGCGGCAAGGGGGGGTTATAGTGGGTATGGGTGGTCTAATGAAAAAAATCGACCGAGTCCTACACTACCGCTGTCCCTGCATTTCTTCAGTGTGCCTTAATGCATTTCCTCTCCCTCCACAAAAAAAAAAAAAAAAAAAAAAAAAAAAAAAAAAAAAAAAAAAAAAAAAAAAAAAAAAAAAANTACTACTACTACTACTACTACTACCAGTATATATTTGAATACACATATAATTCACATCTTTAATTTTTTTAACAAAATATTCACAATAAGATATTACTTCTGACGTAAAAATCTTAAAGTTACTTTTGAAGATTTCAAGGACAAAGCTTAATTTTATATGTGTTCACTGTTTTGAAAGTTTATTTTATAAAATTACATAAGTTTTGCAAGCCTAATACATTTTAAGTCAATTTTATGATGTTAAAATATAACTTATTCTAACTTTTCTTCTAATTATTTTGGTAACTTTTTTAGGTGCCTTAATTCATGATAAAACCACATTATTGTTGTCATCAGTAAGAGACTGCCAGATTGATGTGCTGCTGCTATTTTCATTGGTACATGGTACAGTAGTGTAAGAATACCCATTGCTGCTTGTAAGTATGCCATTGCAAAAACTGTTGCACCTGCTATAAAAGCTCGAGTAGACAGCTGACACGTTCTGGACATTATACCTATGTAAGTAGAAACAGCCAAGGTTGAGAGCCCCTGGAAAAAATAAAATTACTTTAAATTGTTATACTAATGAATGCTGAAAGTTAACGCTATTGTAAGGTGAAGCGTTATCATTGAATTCTGTGTTATAGTTTGAAACATTAAAAAAAGTTATAATTCTTACAAAAAAATGCAAAACTAACTCCTTAATCTACTACATGAATAATACAACAAAATTAGAAATTTCCTTATTTTACGTGATTAAAAAAAATTAATTTGTGAGTTAAAACCTTTTCTAAATGTTTTCAGGCCTTTTCAGTAAAATTAAGAAAGGTTAGTAGAGAGACAGCACTGTGAAGATCCCTTATTATGTAAGGAAATGAAAGAATAATCTATTATTACTTTAAGTGGTAACAAAGTAAACACTTATTTCAAATGCAAGTATGTATTTATTACTACACTGAAAAACTTTCGGTACCGCTGTTAACTTGCAGGTGGCACTGCTGTACTGCCGTAGCTTCGGCGTAAGAGGAGCGCCGAAACGGCATACCCACTGTACCGGTCCTGCGGCTTGTCTGCTGAACCGTTAACATGGTACAACTGTTATGCGCGAGTGTGGAGTGTCAGACAGTACTTTGAGCTGTATCTGATTGGACAAATGTATACTTATATATAGGTGGTGAATACTGCATGGTAATGCGTTGATATGATATACTTATGAAGACGTATATGACTGTCACTGTTTATGGTATTGACAAAAATGACTGTAATTAAATAACTCAGTGCACTTACTTACTACCTTATAAAATAATAAAATAGTAACAAATAGTAGTAAAATAGTAACCTTTTACCTTATTACTTAGATTTTCGTTTTACACGCGTGTTTGGTGTAAATCAGTACAAATAAAAATGAAACTTACTTGTAAATACAATAATTTATTAGTGTAATTTACAATTCATAACGTGTCACAAGATAATGACATGATTTTGTTTTTACAGAAACTACTGGTGGAATTTTTGGTAAATCTTCAAAATAAATTACTCTGTCTTTATTAGTACAACGCTCGACTACGTAAGAGTATTTATGTTCATCAAAATAAATTTCTTGATATATTTCCAAATGAAAAATCACACTTTTATAAGTTTCTCCGATTTCATTGAAACCATCATCTGCTTTCTCAACCTTTTCTATTTTGCATAATTTTCCGAATTCCACCTCACTATCCGACATATCGGTGACAAAATATTCACCAACTCTAAAATTCGACTTGTTGATATCTACGAAGTTATAATATTTACTGGAAGCATCGGAATATGTGCCCCAGGTAATATCATCGTAACATTTCAATAAATCTGCTGAATGACAAAGTTGTAACATTTGTTTGGTGGCTATTGTTAGCTTAAAATTGGTATTTTAACCGATGAAACAAACAAACTCAATGAAAATTTAAATTAAGCAAGGAAAAGGGAGTGTGAAAGTAAATGAGATTCAATGATATTCTGATAAACTGAGTAGTAGAGAAAACCCTTTTTGTAATTGTTTAAAACTGTTTTATCTTGGTAATCATGCTCAAATATGTTTGATGTATAAAAACTAAAAATTAATAAAAAAACAAAAAACTACTTAACATTTTAGTTAAAAAAATAAAAAAATAAAAAAATTAAAATTAAAGAGTTGTACAAAAATAGTAAACTAACACGTTTAAATATGAGAAAAAAGGTTTACATTAATTGATGTATTGAAGGATAAATTTTGCATTTACAAAAATTTATTCATACAGAGTAGTGAAAATAAAAAGTAATCAAAACAAGCGTTTATTTGTATTAAATATTTCACGTTTGAGTATACTTACCTTTATCAATATTACTGAATAGACTCATTGAGGCATGCTACTTGTTTCAAAGTTAGGACAAGTTATTTGCTGAATAAACGAAACTCACCTTTTAATTTTGACACAACGTCCTCAGAGTGGTTTGGGTACTTTTTAAAAAAGCGTTCATCTTTTCAAATGAGCACTAATAGCTTCCAATCATTGTTTATATAAAATGTCGGTGTGATCAAAACAATGTACCTACAAACGCACTTAATAGTAAACATAAACACCTGAACTATATTTACAGGTGTGTATACAGTACGTGTTACCGAGTAGCGGAATAATTGTTAGCCCAAGCATGAGTACAGCTGCTTAGCCGCATAGGTGGTGCTGCGACCGTACCGCTGTGGAACTCACGTAGCCCGATTCGGTATACCTGTTATACCGCATGGAGGGACGATAGATACACTGCAGTTCGGTATAGTGTGTATACGTGCGGGGATAACAGCGGTACCAAAAGTTTTTCAGTGTACTTAATGTATATAGAGTCACATATGTAGCTTGGCACGAACTGGTCTATAGGTTTACATGTATGAGTCCGCACACTACGCTATAGATGGTACTTTCACATACCTCTTTAATGTACAATACGTTTTACTCTGAAAAATTACTTTTAATGAATCAAGCTGGTATATGGTTTGATGATACGCTTAGATCATCGTAAATGCTCTACTGGTATCATTCATACTTGATGCAAATAGAAGGTTCTGTACTCATCTTACTAACAATAGCCCTTTCGCTCGACAAAGGAGAAACAATTTTTCATATACGGTCATCATGCATATTTGGTAGTGATTCAACATAAGTGATATTACGTACATTGTGACCGATACAGTCTTTTCATGTAATTTTATTATTGGGTTTATAAAAACACATTTAATATAATTTTGATACTTTCTCAATATTACTTCATCATCTGTGATAACATTATTGCAACCGAGGCAACTGGTTAAATAATTTTTACTTTGAAATAATATTTATGTTGGGCGTGGCTTAGTAATTAAACACATAATTCACCAAAGTTTTTGGAAACATAAGTTTTAGAAAAATTATCGCAAAATTCGTAAGAAATATTAGCCAGAAAATTATCATCCCCACGTTGCAGAATAATTTCTAAACAGCTCCATGGATCCCTTTGCAAATTTCTAATTCATTTTTAAATGTCCACCTACTTCGTAGGTGCGTACTTTATTATTAATTTTTTTTTCTAATTAGCATTCCTAAAAATGAACATGTAAAAGAAAATGAAGGGCGTTCGGCAAGTATCACATTTAAATCATGCCCCTTAGCCAGTTACTACCATCCTGAAGGCACGTCTTGTAATTTTTTGTTGTACTTCCCATGGCAGCTTCTATGCTAAGCCACTATACGTACAATCACACTGAAGCCTACATTTTCACGATACCCATATAACTATTGTTACGTTTATGGTTTCAAAATAATTATTTTATAACTTTCCAAAACACAGTCACTGTCTAAAAATAATTTTGAAGACTTATTTGAAGTTTAAATACTTTCAGATCATCACCGGCTTCATCTTGCTGACCTTCTTTAATATATGTATGAATGGTTCAAAATAAAACGCTTTGATTCATAGCTGCCATAAATTACTGTAATGATATAAATCTCAGTTGTCCAATACAAAATTTAAATTCAATGCATTATATGGAATGCTAAATCGTGATTTGACATTAATTGGGTATAGCTGTGATAAACCATATGGTAGTCTATTTTTTGCCTTTAAACTGTTTCATTTTATAGTTACACGCCAACAAAAAAACGTGTTGTTGCACGGAAAGGACAAAACAAATAATGCTAGCGCTTTTTCTCAGCATATTTTTCAATCCACGAGACTATCTGAGTCAAGCTATCATGTGTTGCTCATGTTTATACAGAACAGCTGCATGAAATATACGGTCGCGTCCCAGTGTTGTGAAGATAAAGGTTGTTGTACCATTTTATTTGATTATCCAGAATTATTTAATTATTTCTGTCTTTGCAAGCCTCTTTTACTTTCACCAGATAGTGGCTTCACTTAATTATGATTTATTTCATAATTAGTTTGAAAAATAGTCAAAACCTTTCTATTACAGGGTGTTACACTGTTCAGAGTCATCGAAATTCAGGCCAAGTTGGAAGAATATGCCCAAAATCATAGCAACAGCTCTTGGAATATCATGAATGGATGTTGATGAACCATGGCTGATCTTGGTAAGAAAGGATAGGATCTTGAAGAAAGAGGAACCTAACGCCATCGCAAAGTTATTAGTGACAACAGCCAGGGTAGTACTACGTCTGCCACTTGCCGTATCGTCCGTCGTAGTGGAGTTAAGCGTATTTCTGAACTCATATACGAGAAAACTTGTGCTTTACAGGTATTCCTCGAAGATGTTATCCATGATACCAGGACTTCCACTGAGCACACTAAAGGTAAGACTATCACTGTCGTGGACGTCGTCTTCGGATTGAAGAGATAGGGCCGCGAGATATAAGACAGTTAATCATACGTTCACCTTTTTTTCCAGGGAAAACTTAAAAATCAGTAAATACTAAACAAGATTTCGTTTAATTTAGGGAAATTTAATGATACATCAGCATTGAAAGCGGTAATATAATAGTTTATTTTGAATTAATTGTTTTTCAGCATATACAGTTTTTACAAGATCCAAAGAAGTGGTGTTGCTCAAGATTTAATTCGCTCGAGGATTGCAGATGATTTGCTAGTGTAACAGAGAGGATATAATTGTGGCAATATTAATCGATAGCAGCAGTTTGATGAAACTTTCAAAATCTGGCTAGCTGACTGTAGCTTTAGTACGTTGATTTGTCTATATTTAAGCTGCTAGAGTTATCTTGTCTTTTATTTGGTGTAGATTTATTAAATAAACAGTTTGATTTTTTTTTAAAGTTATAACTGACAGTGAAAAATAATTATGCTTTCAAAAATTTTTTTTTAATTTGATTTACTTTTTTTTCATTTAATCTTTCTGTTCAAACCAAGTGCAAGTAGCACTCCGGGAGTGCAGGCAGAAGTGAAAACTTGAACTTACGGCGCGTTGGGCACTTTTTTGGGTGAGCATTTTTAGGTGCGCTCGCGACATGAGAAATTGTACATAAAAAAATAAAGATAAAAAACTCTCAATCTCGTCTGTCGCGAGGGCACGAACGAATGCCCATGCA